TTCAGCAGTCTTTGTTTCAAAAAGGAACTTGCAGAACCATTTAAGGCAAAATAAAATCCCAGAGAGGATCATCAAAGGGCTCAAATGAGAGCATAAAATACTGTACAATGAAAAATGTCACAAAAGCTTCAATGCCTTAGATATGTATGTGAAAAATTTCAGGCTGAGCCTTCCCACACTATGGGAGGTCATCAAGGAAAGCAGAGTTAGCTCTGTTTATCTCCAGTCAAAGCGACACATGACTTCATTTGGGTTTTAGTCTCATTACTGCTGAAGTGTGAAGTGTCAGGTTAAAAAGACTACACGCTTTTCACCCATAGGGATTGCTCTGTTTTAATGGGTCAGGTCAGTGCTATGGCTCAAAGCATTGCAAATGATTAATGTTTAATACTTTTTAAACTTAAGACCTTGAGAATACAAAATTAACCCTGTGGATGTCTGTGATTGAGACTGTTAGATATTCATCCATTTCAAGGAATACAGCGTGCCATTACTGCTGGCAATGGAGAGCTGAAACAAAACCAGAAGGACATATTTTTCTCAAATCCTATTGTTCTTCACAGAGTGGTCCTGGCAATCTGTGCTCTTGCATCCTCAGAGATTGCCAGGATGAATTATGTTACACAAACATGTCAGTCTTGGACTATGAGAGGAGAGCAAGTGTCCAGTCTAGGTCAAGCAAGACAGTACTGCCTTTTTTTCCTCAGTGTTTCCCATTTCTGACTTTACCTTCCCCATTCCTCATATTGTATACCAAAATTAAAAAAAAACCCAAGCCCCCCAAAAACCCCCAACCAAACAACAGCACAAAAGAACCCCAAACCAAACAAAACCAAAGCCCCAAAAAATCCTTATCCAGAAGGGAAGGGATTTCTATACCATATTCTTGTGATCTTTATGGCAAAAATTGGCAGACAGAATGCCCTCCTAATGTCCACTGGTTAAAAACATTTGATGAGGTTTTCCATCATACCACATGGTATCTCTGGTGACTTTTGATGTTGTAACTGTAGTGGTGGGTGTCCAAAATGAGTAACTAAGAAGAAATTGGTGTGTTCTTGGATCTTGTCAGCAACGTTACTTTCATGGTAGTTTATCATGCCGTGTTGAGTATTAATAATTCAGAAAAGACTAGCTAAGAAACTGCTTAATATACTGCCTTTTTTGGAGTGGCATGAGGACAATTTGCCTTAGTCATAATGCAATAGTCTCTGCAATATAAAATCTAAGAGGAGCAAATTTTTATGGTGGTAACATTGTTCATTCAGATCTTTTTCTTTTTTTTTTTAACCTAGAGTACTGGCACATTTATTTCAGAAAGGCATAGATAATATCAGCGTTGAGTTCTGTGGCTGTATAAAACAGTGGGATGATGAGTTAAATTAGTGTATATTGATTTGTGGCTTACTTTTTATATGACTTAGTAAAAGGAAGCACGATTAATTAAATGTCTTAAATTTCAAGATTAACATTCTTCTAGATGTATCATCTGTCGAAGTCCTCTCATGGCTCTTGTTGTTCTTATGTTGTGTGCCAGAGAAAGTACTCTGATCAGCAAGGCCTAACAGAGGGATGTTTCTAAAATGGGATTATGAAACTCGTAAATCTTTATTTCGGAGACCTTTTCAGTGTCTTGAAGCTGAAGCCAGTGTGTCAAAATCTGTTACTCTGAGCTAATAGCTCAGTTGAGATTCTGGCTTTGAAAATTTTTTTTTTTTTTTTTAATTGAACATTTGTTCTTCAGAAACAGAAAGGCTAAGAAAGATGTTGATATTTCCTCCTCACTGCCGGCACTAGAGTTGTCTATTTTTATTTACTTTGAGAGACAGGGAGAATTGGACAATTGGCTGAACCACAGTAACCAGCATCATCCGCTTCTCATTATTTCTGATGCTTCCTTAAACTTCTGAAATCTTGAGACTGTAAAGAAAGCGTACAGTCATTTCTTTTGAAAACCACATAGAATCTGGCAAAAATTCCAGTGCTTTCAAACAATGACAGGACATACACTGTCGTCTTTGATCCATACATTGGGAAAGGCTTTGTTCCCCTACCCATCTCAACCCTCCTCCTCTTTTCAGTTTAACTTGGTCTGTCAGAAGTGGTTTCAGTGTATAACCCTTTGCAGACAGGAATAGATGGGCGTCCCCACAGCACTAATTTGGCTGTCAGTCCCCCCCAAAAAAGGCTGGCGGTCCTGACGTTTGCATCCCAGCTTATCTTGCTAGGGTGTGAGATGAAGCACATTGTAGGAGATGAGCTGTCTTGTGGAGAAATGGAAGAGCAGCTCTTGAGTTGGGAAAAGAATGCACAGCAAGGATGTTGTTTTTCTTTGTGGTCGGGTGCAGGCAGAAAAGGATGAAAATGTGGTTCAGAAATCAAATGCAGACAACCACTGTTCTTCTTGGAGGACTGCACAGAAAGCTCGTATGTGCAGGAGACACTGCCGACCACTGACCACATCCCACTCACCACCCATTAGGGATTTTCAGAATCCATAAGAAAGCAAATGGCAAGAGATTTTTATTTTTAATTTTTTTTTCCTGAGGGGCAATTTATTGTGAGTATCTCTTTTAAGCTTTTGCAGCTGGTGAGTTGGGTTTATATCTGGGCTAGGAGCGGGTGGGAATAGTAGGAAGAGGTTCAATAGACAAAGAATGGGGAATTTATGCTGGGAATTTGCAAGCTCTTCCTGGGGATTTAAACTATTTGTAGACCTAAACCTCAGATTCAGCTGCCCTTATGGAAAGGGGTTTTGTCTTCTCTGTTTCCACTCCACCCCCAGCTCTTTGAGAACAGTAGCATAAAGTTTTGAAAATATTGTACTGAATATTCTTGGTCTTAAAAGGCTTTGTTTCAAAGCATAGTTGGCTGTGTCTAGGCAGGTGGCTTAACCTTGTTCAGCTCCATCACACGCCATTTGTAGAAGTGTGTGTCTAACTCGCTTAAAACTTGCGTTCAGAGGTTGCGCTCTGCCTGCCCTGGGAACTGGGCCAGTGCTCCCAGCCTGCATCCTGGCACTCACAGCATGCCACGGGGGTTCCACAAAGTTGGCAGAGTGCGAGGACCTGACAATCACCCTGAGCTTGCCTGAGCAGTGGTGCGGCTGGTCAGCCTTCTGGAAATGGACTCTTCCATCAGCCCTCTCATTAGCCTTGCCCATGTGTAAAAGAGGCCAAAATTCCCATTTTCACTCCCAGAAGCTTTTCACAGCTCCACTGATTTTTTTTTTGGTGTGCTTCACAACTGGCTTTATATGTAATGTGAAAAACCTTTTCCCCTTGGCCAACTATTCAAAGCTAAATCTAACATGCAGAAGTTCAAGTTTCCAAAACTCTCTTCCCCTTGATGAACCTCAGTGCTTGGTAAGAAAAAGCCAGGACCTTGCCACTGCTCTCTGGAATGTGCTGGGGGTGACTAAGGAACAAGTAACCAGTTTCCCTCTCTGACTTTTCAGGGTGCTAGAAAAAGAGGCAGACATAATCTCTCAGTATTTCACCAGTGGTCTCTGACAATGCGGTATGCAAATGACATGATGCACGTAACAAGAGGGAAGATTTACCTTTATGTAAATTCAGTTTTTGAACAAGTGTCTTAATCTCTTATTTGGAGAGGTAAGAGGGTTGGAGGTAAGTGGATTTGGTATATCTGCCACAGAGATGCTTCTTGCTACCTGATGGAGGCAAGCATCTATTGCCTGGAGTTAGCCTAGCACTATTTGTGTCAGCTGGATACAAAGCCATGTCCCTCTCTAGATTAATAGCTGGTGGTATGGAGGATCTAAGAGCTTTATGATACGGATGCAAACTCAACATGCAAGAAAATAGTGAATTTGAACATCTGTGTAGACATACCTATTAGCAGTCTGTCATCACCAGAATGAACAGAAGCATTTATACCCCCATCCCACTACTGTTGTACGTGTGAGAGTGGGGCATAGTACACTTGGAAAGAAACAAGTCAGTTGGGGGGTGCAAGAAAACCTCATGCACAAAAGTTCACTGAGATAAGAATTTACAGACAGGAGCATGAACGTGGACAAATGTGGTCATGAGTCCTGTCCCAAAAGAAGGCAAGGCAAGGATTTTCTGTCAAGTGTTGAAGGTGCCTTAGTTGTGCTTTGGCAGTTCATCTTGGTGGGGATGGTACTGGTGATGCTTGCAAGGGACCTACAAGTACTCATGGCATTTTCCACAATGGAATTAAACCAAGTGCTGGTTCATTTGTGCCCGGGGGCAGTCCAACTCCAGGCAGGTTATGTGGGGGAAGACAGTCGCTCGTGGACATGGCGTTTGCTGTTTTGAACCGTGGCAAAGATGCGTCCAGGTGGGCAGGCGAAAGAAAACAGAAGAGTGCAAGTTCATCTGTGGTTGTACTGTTGCATGTGGTGATTGAATGAGAAGGGAGGGTTTTATTCCTTTATTAGTGCACTTACCACACCGATACTTGACAATGCCTCATCTGCTTCTGAGCTCTTTCCTGGTTATAGCACACCGTTACCTCTACAGTAAAAATCGGGACGCGGTCTGCAGCCACATTTTTTACACTCTTACTTTTGTAATGTAGATAAAAGTGTAGCATGCGTATACCCTGAATGAGCAGGGTGGAGAGTAGATTTTTTTTAAAGAGGTTAAATAGATTTCGAGCTAAATAGATGATGCAGTATTCGATCATGAGATGTGGGTTTTACTTTCTACTCTTTCTGAATGTCTACTCCTATACCTTGTGATGTGAATGCTATTTCCTGCAAGTGCTAAATTTTTTTAGTTTTCTGCTATCTATAGGAATGCAAAATGAGCTCTAGATAAATGGAAACTTTCTATTACCTACATAGACCAAAAAGCAGATGTCAGTCTTTAGTTGGTGGAGGTGAACAGCCAAATAAAGTTCAGCCAATTTTATTGGGAAATGAGGAAAATCAAGTAGAATATTTTCCAGCATTAAATTGCTTTGCTTGTCCAGTATGCTACTGGTATTAAAAATATAGATTTGTTACAGATGCCAGCAAAATACTTCATCTTGTAGAGGGAAAAGCATTGTGAGGGAAGCTGCAAAATAATTTACATTCTACTTTCCCAAGGTCTTTCCAAGGTTTTTTTTTTTTAAAGACCAAAAGCAAATAGTCTTATGTTTGTTTTTATGTCAGAAGCAAATACCTGCAGTTGGTCAAATAACTTGGAGAGAGGTTGCTTTGTGGAAAGGGGTTTTCATGAGACTCTTAACAGTGAGCTAAGAGTGGAAAGAGGTTTTGACAAGACTCTTAACAATGAGTTAAAGAGTGGAAAGGTGTTTTCATGAGACTCTTAACCTACGTATTGCTGGTTTCTGAAAGTTGTGGCTGTCACATCAGTTAATAAAATAACTTGTCCTACTGACCACCTAGTTGAGGGACCCTGTTTTGATTGCAGTACTTCAAATAACTCAGGAGTGTCAGCTTTGAGCATTGATATGGTTTTGGTTGAGCCTTCTTGGTCAAGCAGAGGTGGGTCCAAGACCTTCTGATAACTGTTTCAGCACAGCTTAACTCTTTGTGAATTCGCTGAAAAGGCGTAAATGTACTGCTGATAAAGCAGCAGCCTCGGGTGAAACCAGACCATCTTCCCTGAGCAATTTTTCTTTGCATGCTCTGGCCTCTCTAATCGGCAGTTTCACACAACATGATGGCAGTGCTGCCTTCTACCCCAGTGACACCCAGAGTTTGCGTAAAGCTGGGCTTAAATCTCTGGAGAAACCCTACCTGTGTCTCTGGAAAGGACTTCTTTTGAGTGTATCCGTAAGAGGAAATACACGTCGTGCTCTGTGCACCTCGCCGTAGAGGACTAGCCCATCTTGGTGGTGATGATAGTATTTCTACCTGTTGTCATATCAGTGCCTTGAAAGTCCAGTGGTACCACCATACAGCCCAATGCTGTTAAACTTTTTGGACAAGGGATCAGTCTTGTTTTGAGGAACTGTCCCCTATGGCACTCTCTGCTCTTCTGCTGATCTGCTTTCCCTGTGGGGATGGGACTCTCCTCAGTGGAGATAGTAGCCCAAGGGAGCACCCAGCATTGCAGCTGGGGTCGCAGATGGGATTGGATGGGCCTTCTAGGACTGAATTTTGTTTTACATTGAAAAATAGTTTTGTTTGAAACAGAAGCATTTCTCAGGAGCAAGACGATTTAATTTAAAAAAAAAATCAGTTAACTTCAGAATAAATTGCGGTGAAATTAGGTGAATCTAGTGATTCCTGTTTTCTTCAAAGTTTAAATTTTTATGTACTGTTAGTGTGAAACTTTTTGCTTCAGCGAAACATAATTTCAGCATTTTCGTTTCACTTGTGGTATTTTGGTTCCAGTCTGGCGTTAAACACATCCGCTCAGAAGCGTTGGTGTTTTGGAAAGGGAAGCTCCATTTCTTGCCCTGTCATAATCCTGGGCTTTTTAAGGTCACTAGGTGTGTTCCTGTGAGCTTCAGCTTTTAATGCAAAGGCACAGCTGCTGAAAAGGATTGAGATGCTGTGAAAACCGGGGTGAGCCAGATGCCTCAATGAATTATGAATTCTAGGCCTTCTTGCCTATAATTCTCCAGAAAAGAAGGTGGATGGGAATTGCAGCAGATGAGCAGTTATGTAAACTTTGAGCGCTTAAGTATCAAATTGAATGTATCAACGTTTGAAAATCTTACGCTATTAAAGAGGTGTTTAGCTTCTTAAGCAGGACATTGCTGAGTCTAGTTTACAGTTACCTGTAAGACATCTAAGCCGTGATGGTATCCATAAAGTTTGTAAAGAATTTCTAACAGGAATAAAAAGAAATTTTCACTGCTTATTCAGAAATATTCCTTAATGAAGCTCTGTTTTCTAGTAATGTGGAAATCAAGTAAGACCATAACTTTCCTAGCCAAGGTGTCTGTGTTGGAAGGGAATCTGAGAGGCACTTTCTTGCCATTGCTTCATGCTGGTAAGTTTGAGCTTGTAGCTTATGTCTCCTTGGACAAGGAATACAGGGGAAAGGAGGAGTATTTGTTGTATACAGAATATGACATATCTGTCCAAGAGACCTTTGATTTAGCCCATATTGGTTATTTAAGAGTGCAGCCTTTTGAGAACATTCAGTTTTAAGAAGAATCCACATCAGGAAATAAAACATTACAGCTGTGTGTACAAGAAATACAAGTCTTTGAGGAAGGCTATAGCAAAAATACACCCCACAGCCTTACCTGAGCCATATAGAAATGCAACTGTAGCCTTTTCTCTTGTTCTGCTTGTAGGATACCACCAATATGGAGTACAGAATGTTAACCTGAGAGTTGGGTATTTGTATGTATTAGCAGATAGTAAATTTTAAGGCATTTCACTGTATTAATTTTTCTTAGTTTTGATTTTTCATGCATTTACGTGTTTTCCTTCTATTTTTGTAGAACTTCTGAGGTCCTGCCATAATGTGAGTACAGTTGCTCAGACAGAGGCAATCTATAGAGATATTTTATATTACAATAGCAAAAGTGTTTTTTATTTGAATTGGATCAACTTGTACTCAATTCCACCCTTATATACGTATTAATTTGGAAAGTGTATCGGTGCACATTTTGCCGTTAGCAACGTAACCAAAATAAAAGGGCCTTAACAAGTCCTTCTAAACTTTTATTTATTTATGGATAGACTTGCTCATGAACTTTGTCTTTTCTCTATCTCATCCATTCTGAAAGCAATATGACTTTTAAAATGGGTTTTAACAGGGAGGAGGGGGCAAAATCTACTTTCTTTTGGGGATCCCTTGCAAACTTAACTGTAAAGCTGCCACAAAAAAAATACTAGAAGAGGCAGGTCAGAAGAGTGTCTGTCTTCATTCTGTTCCTTTTTACTTTATCCAGAAAAGTTTCGGAGTGGGCTTTCCAAGGTGCCCCGAGACCAGCGACCCGTGGGCTTTGGCACGCACTGACGTTGGAATAGCATTTGCACGGTCTGGCCCCGCTAAGGAGTGAAAGTGGTGGTGACACCCCAAAGGGCAGCACTGGGAGCTAGGACTTGCCTTAGGGGCTCGGTAGCTTTTATTGTATTGAACAAGGGGAAAAAAGAAAAAAGAAGGTTGTTTAATTTGCAGAGCATTCAAGTCATACAATTGCCCGTGGGAAGGTCATTTTCTTGGAAAGTGCTGAGATGGTTCCTCTTTTGAAGGCAATTAGAGAAAGAGGAGGGGAGCTCCCATGCCATAATTCAGATTTGGGTACCTCTTCAGAGGTTTCCCATCACAATTTCTTCTGCGTGCAGAGGACAGTTGGCTTTTTTTTTGTGTGTGTGTGTGTGTGTGTTTGGGTTTTTGTAAACTAAATAGTTACACTGTTTCAGATACCTTGATGTTTACACTTGGTAATCCCATGGTAGCCAAAGAGAATTTATTTGTGACACACAGAGCCAAATCAAATACATGACTGTGGTAAATCACAGGTGGTAATAACCTTATCTCAGATCAGTTAAGCTGCCAGTTATCAGGTCACTGCCCATGCCCAATGCCTTTTTGGGTGAGAATCAACTCGGGTAGGTCCTGTGCCAAACGATGCATTGGATGGATGGTAACTATCCCAGCTGCTGTTGCTGTACCAGTGCTGCTCTTGCCACCATTAATAGCTATGAAGAAGCAGCAGAAAGGCGATGGCAGAGGAGAAAAACTTTTCCTAAAATTGAGCCAGAAATATGAGGTTAAAATACATACTCAAGAAGGTTTGTATCAGCTTTGCAGTTGTTGAGTATCAGCTTTTTTTTGTATTTATAGTAAAAGCTAGTCTTTGAACAAAAATCTTTCTTCCCACTAAAAATATCACATTGTGGGTTTTTTGTTTTCCCTAATTGGAAAAAAACCACACCCAAAATATTAAGAGCATAATTAAGAGAAACGCATTTCCAGTAGAAATACTTATTAGAAAATATATTGTATTTATCAATATTTTTTACATCCCCTTATCTTAGGGACCTTATCTCAGTGCTTACAGTAGGAGCTGAGAGTTGTGTTTCACCCAGACTCTTTCTGGCTCAGCCTAAAGCAGAGTTGCTCAAGCTTTTGATTTTTTCCACATGGTAAAGGCCGAAACTTTGTCCCATAGAAAAGGTTTTCTAACACTGGATGGAAAGATCTTCTAACACTTTGAATGGATGCTATCCCCAATAAGATAAACCTTCTATCTAAAATATTTTCCAGCTCAGATTTTCCTCTGATGGAAAGATATCGAGTGATTCTTTCCATGCGTTTGGGTAACAGGGTGAGAAATAACATTGTTAGAAACTCTTTGGGATCTTGAAATACAAAGACGCTATTATTCAGGTTGGGGATTTTTTTTTTTAATGTCTT